ACTATTCGTTCCGTCTGAGACGCGTCCACTTCTGGCCAGTGTTTACAAGGCAGCCAGCCCCGCGGTCGCTTCCAAGCATACAACCGAACATTTCATATTATCACAGCCTTTTTAGTGATTGCACCTGCAAAAAAAGTCACCATGGGCCCCAAGAAAGCTTCTAGTGCCAACCATACAGCAAAAAGGGTGAGAATTACTATGGATATGAAGAAAGAGATAATTGCTAAGTATGAAAGTGGAGTGCGTGTCTCTGAGCTGGCCAGGTTGTACACAAAACCCCAATCAACCATCGCTACTATTGTGGCCAAGAAAACGGCAATCAAGGAAGCTGTTCTTGCCAAAGGTGCAACTATGTTTTCGAAACTGAGATCGCAAGTGATAGAAGATGTTGAGAGACTGTTATTGGTGTGGATAAACGAAAAACAGATAGCAGGAGATAGCATCTCTCAAGTGATCGTATGTGAAAAGGCTAGGAAGTTGCATGAGGATTTAATTAGAAAAATGCCAGCAACTAGTGGTGATGTGAGTGAATTTAAGGCCAGCAAAGGTTGGTTTGAGAGATTTAAGAATCGTAGTGGCATACATAGTGTGATAAGGCATGGTGAGGCTGCCAGTTTGGACCAAAAAGCAGCTGAAAAATATGTGCAGGAATTCAAGGAGTACATAGACAGTGAAGAATTGAAACCTGAACAAGTGTTTAATTGTGACACTGACAATGTTGTGAAACACTTTAGGAATGTCATAAAGGAATGGGAGGTACAGGCCTCTATGGACAGATATGTTGTGCAACAGAGGTCCAGTGACTCTCAAGCTGGTCCTAGTGGCATTAAAAGAAGAAGGGAAGTAACCCCAAAAAAGGACTTGCCACCTCAAGTCCTAATGGAAGGGGATTCCCCTTCTAAACACTAACACCATCAACACTCTCCCCTCCTCCCATCCCATCAATCATCACCAGATCTTCAATAAAGATAAGTGTCATGTAACTGTGCATGTCTTCTTCAGTTTGTATGTATTAAAATTAATATTTCATGTGGTAAAAAATTTTTTTTTTCAATACTTTTGGGTGTCTTGCATGGATTAATTTGATTTTCATTATTTCTTATGGGGAAAATTAACTCAACTAACGATAATTTCGATTAACGATGAGCACTCAGGAACGGATTAATATCGCTGGTCGAGGGTCCACTGTACTGTACTGTAAATGCATTTTCTTTTCCTTATGATTTTCTTAATAACATTTTCTTTTCTCTAGCTTACTATATTTTAAGAATACAGTTTATAATATAACATACAAAATGAGCGTTTATTGACTGTTTACGTTAGAGGTAAGGCTTCCGGTCAATAGTGGGCCACTAGTAAAGTTTTTGAGGAGTCAAAAGTTATACACAAAGTTTTTATTGCACATGGGGTCAGCACCCCTAACCCTTGCATTGATGAAGGATCAACTGTATAATAAGGTACAGTACTGCCAACATCAAGAGAATCTCTAATAACCTCCCAAAACCCTTTCATTATTCACCTCTACTTAGCAAATCATGATCTCCTCTGCAGATCTCAGACACTGGACCAAAACATGTTTCAAACTAAAAAAAAAAAAAAAATCAGAAGGGTACCCAGGGGATCCATGCTACAGTGGAACCTCATGTTTCGAACGTATCACTTATTGAACTCTTCGAAAATCGACCGCTTTTTTTAAACCAACTTTGTCCCTATTATCCAACTCGCCCCTATTTTCGAACCGCCGGGTATCGGACCTGTCTGCCAGCCCACTCTGTCTGCGTCCCCACGCAGGCGCCGTGAGCCAGTCTGGCTTTGTTGATGCTCAAGTGAACACTAACCTGTGCTTCATTCAAACATTTTACTATTAATTCATCGTGTTTAGTGCTTGTGGGACTGTGAAATAAGCTACCATGGGCCCAAAGAAACTTGCTAGTGGTACCCTTGTGGTAAAGAAAGTGAGAAACACCAAAGGTGTGAAGAAGAAAATAATACAGAAGTATGAGAGTGGTGTGAAACTTGTTGAGCTTGCCAGGATGTATGGGAAAAACAAGTCGACCATCGCTTTTATTACCCTGGCAAAGAAATTACAAATCAAGGAAGCTGATGTTGCAAAAGGTGTTAATATGCTAACCAAAAAAAGACCATAGACAATCGATCAGGTTGAGTTGTTGTTGCTGGTGTGGATCAAAGATAAAGAGATGGCAGGTGATAGTGTTTCAGAGATGATTATTTGTGAAAAGGCAAGGAAGTTGCATGCCAATTCGAAGATTAAGGAGATTTGTGCCACGTGGAATGATGTCCAAATGTTTGTGGAGAAGTACCACCCTGAGCAAGCTGAAACAAGCCATCTTTGCAACAAGTTCAGTGACAGAACCATGTCCCATTTTAGGGAAATCTTAAAGAGGTGCCAGAAACAGAGGACTGTGGACAGTTATTTTGTGAGTCAGGGGTCCAGTGACTCTCAAGCTGGTCCTGGTGGCATTAAAAGACAGAGAAGGGAAGTAACCCCAGAGAGTGCTTTGATACCTAAAGTCCTTATGGAGGGGGATTTCCCTTCCAAACACTTACCCCAACTCCCTCTCTCCTCCTCCCTATCTTCCAGATGCCATCATCAATCTTCAATAAAGGTAAGTAAAAATGTTATTTTATATGTTTATTTAAATTTATTAATACATAATTGTACACTATATTTGCTGTATGTAAAACTATAAATAATCTCTATAAAATGTATTTTTTTGTGAAATTTTTGGGGTTTCTGGAACGGATTAATTGTATTTCCATTATTTCTTATGGGAAATATTGCTTCGCTTTTCAAACTTTTCGAATTTAGAACTAGCCCCTGGAACAGATTAAGTTTGAAATTTGAGGTTCCACTGTAATTGGAACTGCAATGAGAAGGGCTCAGACCCATCACATACTGGACTGGGAAATGTTAGCAGCAGTCACCAACTGACCAATACTAATGACACAACTGTTTGGAAAATGTTTCCTGTGCATTGAAGAATTGCAGTTTATCTACATTTCCTGAAGGATGACAACTAGCTATTAACATATGTTTTAATAATGCAGTTTATTTCAGCAACAAAGTCCCACTTCCTTAAAATATCAAACAAGTTATTAACCCTCTTTCAACTCCATATTAATAACTTTTTTGGGGGGATAACAAGAGATTAAAGCTTCTTTAACTTTTCTCTTATTCACAAGAATACAGTGGACCCCCGCATACCGTTGGCATCACATAACGTTAAATCCACATACCAATACATTTTATCGCTAAGATTTTGCCTCGCATACCGCTAAAAAACCCGCTCAGCGCTATTCGTCCGAGACGCGTCTAATGTGCGGCCTGAGCCAGCCTCACATGTTCCGCCGGTGGCATTGTTTACAAGCCAGCCTCCGCGGTAACATCCAAGCATACAATCGGAACATTTCGTATTATTACAGCGTTTTTGGTGATTTTATCTGCAAAATAAGTGACCATGGGCCCCAAGAAAGCTTCTAGTGCCAACCCTGTGGTAAAAAGGGTGAGAAATATTATCGAAATACTGTGGTACCATGGTCAACTGCTGCTGCTGCTGCTGCTGTAGCACTGTCAGCTGCTGCTGCTGCTGTAGCACTGTCAGCTGCTGCTGCTGCTGTAGCACTGTCAGCTGCTGCTGCTGCTGTAGCACTGTCAGCTGCTGTTGCTGCTGTAGCACTGTCAGCTGCTGCTGCTGCTGTAGCACTGTCAGCTGCTGCACCTTCAGCTGCTGCTGCTGTAGCACTGTCAGCTGCTGCTGCTGCTGCACTGTGATAAGGCCTGTTCTGGAAGAAAATGCCAAACAGGACCTACAGTACTCAGGAGGAAAAGGCACTCCCAGGACACAGTGTCTCATCAGTCATTGCTGCATCTTCAATAAAGGTAAGTGTCATTTATTCTTCATTTAGTAGAGTAGTACATGCACAATATATACTGTGCATGTATTACTCTACTACTGTGCATGTATCCTTCTCTTTGTGTGTAGGAAAATGTATATTTCATGTGGTAAAAAAATTTTTTTCATACTTTTGGGTGTCTTGCATGGATTAATTTGATTTCCATTATTTATGGGGAAAATTCATTTGCATAACGATAATTTCGCATAACAATGAGCTCTCAGGAACGGATTAATATCGTTATGCGGGGGTCCACTGTACTACCAAAGCTAAGGACACAGAAAAAAAAAATGCAGTTATACCTATTTACCCGAAATGTTCTTCATACTAAGGGGGCTTTGTGCATGCACATCTAAATGTCATCCATCTCTCTACACTGTACCATGCTAGTTCCCCTCAAGGAAGGTTCCTTGATGCTGGTGAGGGGCTCTTGATTTAGGGAATTGGATCTGTGCTCCAGTTCCCCGAATTAAGCCTGAATGCCTTCCACATCCCCCCCAGGCGCTGTATAATCCTCCGGGTTTAGCGCTTCCCCCTTGATTATAATAATAATATTGTACCATGCTAAAATAAAGAATCTTTAATCTCTAATAAATTTCAAAGGAATCTTCAGTGACCACTAAAGAAACTGATGGGCAAACAGGTACAGTGGGGAAACCAATTTTAATACTTTGCATAACTATAGTATTTATACTGTACTACACACTGCTAATTTGCTACTGTATTTTAAGTAATACATCTTTATGGGAAAAGAAGTTGTAGTTGGAATGGTGTAACTTTATTACAGATTTTTTGCATACTAGTTTTAAATTTTAATAACGTCTGCACTGGCACAGCATCATTATGAAGACTTAACCTAGGATAAACCATCATAGCAAAATAGTATTCGCACTGCAGCCCTAAGTTATTTCAAATTGTATAATTTTTTCATAAAATGAATTTGATAACAAAGAGTGCAATATGACTGTAATTACTGATAGTTAATAACCAACATAAAATACCCTAGCAGACATAACTTCAAGAAACACCATAAGGTTGAAGCTAACATGTACGGTAATACTTTTGTACACCGAATACCAACTTACCAATTAAATAATCTGACTGCGAGCTGTGTAAACATATTTTCTCGTCCTCTAGACTGAGTGAGGTGCTCATGACAGGGAAATGATCAAGTTAACTCTTAAATATGTCATTGAAACTCCACCAGAGTAGACAATCAAAAACATTACAAGACTTGGTTGTTTTCACAGCTACACAGCTCACTTTGCTGATGTCACATTCGCTAATGTTACTGTATAAATTACATAATTTATCTATTTGGATTGAATATTTAGACTGTTTAATAAAAAATACTTTCTGTATTAATTTTGTCTAGCAATGAAACATTAAGATTATTTTCACAGTAAACAGTTTGTCCTGAGGTCATTTATGCTCAGCTGATTGCAATGAGAATTTATATATTTTTCTAGAATGCCCGAATCTTTGTTAAAGAGATAAATGTTGTGTAGAGAAGCACAAATGAGTGTTAGAGGGTATAATGAAGATGTAGAGGTATATATGTATAAGTGTTGGCACTGGTGGTGGTGCCAGGAGTCGCCATCAGAGGAGTCAGTGTGGCTCGCGCCCTCGCCGTGCGCGGATGTTGTATACAAAAATGCGCAGGAACTGCAAACTCTTCATATTCGTTTCTTGTGTATGGACACTCGGTGTTGTCGTATATCTTAACACGAGCAAGGATGTGAAGGTCAGTAACACGAGTTTCACTGTTTGTTAGTATTAAGCGTAAGGTTATTATTTGAGGAAAACATTATTCTTGAGACGCTGCCTCCGTTGCCAGACAACTACCAGTGGAGATGTGATGATGCCAGGGACAGTGCCACTAGTGCCACCCACTATAATACCCTCTTGTTGCAAGCCTATATTACTTCCTACTTAATTCATATCTCAAATTCCAGTATTTACCATTGTTAGAAGCCTGTTAGATATTGACATTGGTGCAGTCAATGGTTAGAACCCCTTTGAAAGGCCTGGAGTATTGATTTTGTGCACGTTGTAATGGTAGGCTGGTGGGCGGGTCTTCTACTAGAGGTTGGCTTAGTATAAACCAATAATTGTCCATTATTTGCCTTTAGTGTGTGCTAAATCACCCAACCTGAGTACTTTCGTCAGTCAAAGACTGACAACTTATATATTGGTTGAATTTATTCCCATTATCTGTTTAGACTTTAGAGAGTCGAACTTATCATTATTACCTACTTTTTTTTTATTACGTATCATACTTTACTAGAGACATTTACGAAATATTGAAAGCGAATGTTTGTTATTGTTTTGTAAATTTTTTATGTGATATGGCGCGCTTTCTTGCAAGTGGAGGTGTTCGCCGGTATTAGTCTTCTATTTCAGGTACATTTACGGGAATGAATATGCAGACATGGTTCACTCGTATATACCTCCAAAGGATTATGTGCAGACAAGTACAGGCGTACGTATATACCTTCACACTAATACTCCAGTGAAAATGAGTCGCTTTATTTCACTTATTTGCGTTAATCTTACGTAATTTACATATACACTATATGTTACTATGTAAGACAATGGTAATCATTCAAAAAGTTGTGTAAAATTCTACCGAGAAAACTTGCGCATATATGCACAAACGTATTTATATACTTTTAACACTCCTAAACAAACATTACCCTCAAACACATTCAATATGCTACTCTACAATCTTAACAAAGAGTTCCCGAGTATGTCATGTTTTGTTACACTAATATAAAATGGTATCTTGTATCTCGGTTGATAGCATACTCAGCTCACATACTAAGTGTTCGTGGTTCGATCCCCGGCACGAGTGGACACGTTGGGCATGTTTCCTTATAC